TCTTTTCGCCAAATTCATCCGGCTTGCCCAGCCGACGGCCACCGGCCTGATCGTGTTGATGGACTCCACTTGAATGTTGTATGATTGCATATTTATTTTATATTACTTGCTGAATGCATCACTCTTGCACCCTATGGTGCACCTGTGAGGATATGCCCTCATATGCCCATGGTGGGTATCTATGTCCCACTTAGGCACAGCACTCTATGCCCCTTTTGACATTCTCATATGTCATCGTGTGCCACGCCCCCAACAAATTCATACTTGCACTTGTGCATCATTGCATGTTTGCTTGCATAACATATTGTATGTTTGCATTTCATATGTTTTTGATTTGCACTTGAGTCACTACCTCCTTGGCACACTCACCCCCAAGTCGTCTCCTTGGCGCACTCATCTATGTTTTGCATGCACCACACCGCACAATCGGCGTATTAGTCGTTAACATATGCCTCCATAAACTAGTGGCGAATATTTACAACCTTTCGATCGCTCCTACCCTGATAGATGACCGCCTACATTGAATCATGTTGCATTTGCATATGCATCTCCGATCTTCTCAACGATAAAACCGGCTCGTTAGCTGAGTGACCCTCCGCTAGTCACGACGTAGCAGCTAGTATTGCCTGCGAAAATGTTTTGGTAGGCAATATCAGCTATCGCGTTGTGAACTAGCATGTGTATGTTGTACTAAAGTTCGAAGGAGTCAAATAGGTGTCACTTAGGCCCTCTAATTTTGAGAAACTGTTTTAAAAGTAAACAAAAATTTACGCCAGCCTTCTGACCTAACCCTACTCGCACTCAGATGCTATGTTAGGACACTGCGTTAGATGGTGTGCTAGACTAAAGACTAAGATGCCCTGGCTATAGTTCTCTGCGGGTTTGGATGCCCTCGGCAGGCATCATTTTTTGTGCTTTTGGGGTGCTCACATGTTTAGCGGTCTTGAGATGTGTGCATTAGTATCTTAGGTCGGTATTCTTGCACCTATAAATCTAATTAATGTATAGAATTTAAACCAGGGGTTTACTTATGCGATGTCTGGCCGTCTTTTTCTGTTTCTGAGATATTTTGCCAACCCAGTGGCACCGGTCTTTCTTGTTCTTTATACTTGGTGTTTCCTTTACCCCTTTCTCTATTGAATGTTTCCTTGCTTGCAATTAGTTTTGCCCTTTTTACCTTGTGATTTTGTCTAAGAATCATGTGGATCACTTAGGCTCTTTATGACCAAAAATTTTATAGATATTTTTATAAAAGTTCAATTATAAAATTTTGAAACTAATTGAAATTTAGACTTAAAATATTCAGAATTTTCAAAATCTATTTTTTTTATTTTCATGCACGGACTTCAAGCTGGATTTCAAATGGGTTGCATACATAACAATATACTCAGTCATAATTAATAGTCTCCACGCTTAGGACTTATTGGATAATTGCATCATTTATAAGTCCAAAGGAGAAGTTTCTGTGTTTCTCCAACCTGATTAGCCCAGCATAAGTTTTATACTTTGGTGATTGTCTAATGCGCTTAGGATGTTTGGGGCTTCTTCAACTAAGACGGGAGTAAGCCCTTCGTTGAGATTATTTCAGTTGTAGTTGGACCTCTCATCTCTTTTTCCACTCCAGCGGCATCCTCGCCACTTTGGCAGATATAAGTCTCACCTCTGGTCTTCCCATCTACATAGGGTCATAGGATTAGAATTTCTTTTTCTTGACCTTTGGGATACCGAAGTCCCATTTGACGACGCAATTCACAGATTGATGATAAGGGGGTTTCCAGTTATGTTGGGTTGACTACCTTCATGAACCGATTGACTTGAGGTCCTAATAGCATGGGACGACAGATCCGTGATATCCCGACTCTACTACCTCAACTCGATTAGAATCGTTCTTCCTTTCCTTTATTACCCCCTTTAAGCCCTGTTGCTTCATTCGACTTTTCGTTTGTTGTCTCATACGCCCCGATTATGGATCAGTCGTCACCCATTTGGAATACGGATATGATGATTTACCCTCTACCCTTATGGCCCGGTTAAGCTTTGAAAGCATAGTGTAGACCCTATGAATCGACCCAGTTATTTCATAGCCCCAGGTCGCCGATAAGCCAACTTCCATATGGGATTGTGAGAGACTTACTCTCTGCTTGTATGGATTGTCGCAAGCTTTGAAGGCATCAGAATGCTCCTGTGAGATAATCGTCCATTGTGACACTCTTTACTAGTCGTTATACAAGTGTAAGCAAGATTTTTTTTTATCGAGAGCATTCTTAGGCACCCCCAAGATATATTTAACCAAAGGGATACATACCTTTGGGAGTTACTCTTAACCCCAGAACAACCGCACACTTGAATCTCTGGTAGTGGGTTGTTTTCATATCGGACTTCTTTGCGGATATGTCCCAAAGCATTTTCAATCTGATTTTGTCTGGACGTACGCTCTTGGGCTATCACGCAAAATTTACTTCACGAAAGTTCTTCATGTGTTTTTTATCATTTGTCTTCATTGTCTTGTGTCATTACCTTCTGATTTCTCTCATTTTCAAATCATTCATATAAATAATACGAAGATAGACAACTTAACAACTCCTTAAAAGAAAAGAGAAAGAAGAAGAACGAAAACAAAATCATTAGCAAGATGCAATCTGAATAATATGAATGCTTAAAAAAACTTTGAAACATGCCCCTAAAGTAACAGACGAATATGTTTATTAACCCCTTATGATGCTTAGTATCCCTTCATTGATGACATGCTAGAAGCCTCTTTTATTTTTATTTTACTTTTTCAAACCCCATATAATTCTTAAAAGTCTTCTTTAAAGTCTGAAATGCTAACTCCATAGTCGTACTTGTCCTTATCATTACAAGCTAAGACCTTTATAATACTACGACCACACCCCATTCCCCAATTAATGGGAAGATTGGATTATCAGCACAACTAGTCAATTAAATTTAATCAAGAGCAAAGATGACCATGTCATCTATCAATCAATCATGATCATCGTCATCATCTCTATATAAACCAAAAATCCATCATACAAACAGGTCATCTTCCCAGCTAAACCAAACAACTAACATCTCTATTAAAGCCAAATTCATGATACAAATACGTCATCTTCCCAACGAAACCAACCAAAACTTCTGACCATTTAATATTGTGTACAAGATTGGATAATTCAAATGCAAACTCTTATCAGAGAGACGAAATAGATGCATCTACAAACCTACTTTAACACTGCATCTTGTAGCACATATATATGAAATAAAGAGTTGAAAATCATAAATTAGCAAATGTACATAAGCATATACAGAATAAGACATCAATTTAGTCAAAAGAAAACATACAAAATAAAAATCTTTAAGAAAACAGTAAATTGCAAACATACAAGATTAGTATCATAAACAGTGGTAAGATAGAAATACTCTGCGTGGAGTTGAAATAATAAAGAGAAAAGAATTGAAAAGAAGCTATTCGGTTTCTTCCTTTCGAGTACAAAGCAGCAGAGATATAAAGGAAACCAAAAGAAACGTTTCTGCAGGAAAAAGCTATTTTCATTCAAACAAATCAAAGGAAAGTAAGAGAATCGAAACTTCGTTAATGAAACATTAATTATATCAACAAAGCCTTACACTTGCACACCAAAAACAAAAATAAAAACAAAAACAAAAACAAAAAAATCCTATCACTGACAGAGCATGGCAGCGCAAAATTCGAATGGACTGAAGATTGCACTGGCGGAATCAGAACAGTGTGTTGAGGAGTTCTCAGACGAACAAAATCAAAGAAAAATAAAGTGTTCGCGGATTGGATCATCCCATCCTAGTCACGAGTAAAGTTTCCTCCTTTCTAGATTGTTCTTAACTCCCAGACACTATAAAAAAGCTAGAATCATTCTCACAAATACTCTTCCAAAACGAAACAAGAAGAAGAAGAAGAAAAAGAAAAATGCACCAGCTTTATAAACATTGGGAAATGAAATTTCATAAGCGAAGTTAAAAACATTCAGCTACAGTCCAAAATCAAATAAAACATTAAACCCATTTTGCAGCAGCCAATCTCAAATTATAATCTTCACTACAACAATCGATAGGGCAGCGGAAACGAATCGGGTACCGCAACAGTGGAGGCAATGGCGCCTATCAATCCGAAGAAGATGATCCCTCGTGAGAGAGAACCGCGCTCAGACGCCTCCCACCGATCATGGCCACCACTCGACTCGCCGCCGGCGGAGGCCATCATCTACGATCCGCTCTTCGGGCGTCGGACCCGCAATCGGAGAAGGGCATGCCTCACTGTTCGCCTTGGAGACCGATACCGGAAGGTCGATCAAAGCTAAAGAGAAGGACGGGAGAGAAAGGCGGAGGAGGGTCGCGTTTATCTGCCTGCGAACGTCACTTATGTGGCAGAGAATTGGGGAGTAGTTTAGTACATAAAATGTCACACAAATTCTCATATATTTACATAATAATTTAGTCACTTATATGATATGAGTTATCACATTAAAAATCATTGATAATATTTCTAATAATATATGGATTGGTAAATACATAAAAATTATGAAAAAATTAACAACGCAGCACGAAATTCTTTTTTATTTGCATATCAAACACCCAAATTTTGATATTTATGTACTTAGCATTTTAATTATTTAAATCTATGTATGAAAAGATATAATTCATATTAAAAAGATGATAATAGTGTTATTTGATATTAAAGATTTAGTGTTATGTGTATAAATACAAAAGTTTGGGTGTGAGACGTGTAAATACATAAGAATTGTGTGCTATGAATGATATGTAACTTTTTCCATAAAATTTGCATGTTCATCACCTAAGATGTCCTTTATTAAATAATCACCCTTGTCATTTTTTTTAACCATCAAATACATGTATTTATGCATTCATCATCAAATCATTGAAATTTTGATTAAAAAAACATGATTTATTTTTTTGTTGTAATTTTCAGTATTTGAGCAAGAATTTGAAACAAACATGCAGGAGTGTAATTTGTTTTATGAATGATAATATTTAAGATGATATGTTCTAAATGCCCTTTTTTAGGAATGCAATAGTTAGGGTTTGTTTGTGGCAGCTGCAGCTAATTAAAAAGCAATTGTGAAATTGTTATAAATAATCTGATATTCAAGAAGTTGTGGTAGCTATTATAATTTTTTTTTCTTGAAAAAGTCAAATCGCGGTTAGAAAGCAGCCACCGCACCTAACCGAGACTGACCAGAAAACGCAGATTTTTGCAGCAGCTTTTTGAAAAACTATTAAAACATAGTTTACCCAAATAGAGAAACTGTGGTTAAGTGGCGATGCCAAAAACCGCACCGCCGCCTCAAATGGGCTCTGCATGTATTTAATATTTACATATTGGATAATTAGCATACATACCACACAGTTTTTATGAATTTTCTTTTGCTAGCCTCAATGTTGATATTTACATTTATAACATTATGGTGGTAAAACCTATGCATAAAAAAAGACATTTGATTATTAAAAAGGTTATAAAAACTCAATTTTTAATGTGACATTAAAGATCCGAGTTTTATGTATATAATTACAACTTAGGTTTAAGATATCTAGACACATAATAACTATGTTGTATGCATGTCAAATGCCTCTTAGATGTTTTGTGAGAACATTTAATTTACAAAACACATTTTTAGAAAGTTCAGAAGAAAAATTTAACACTTTTTTTCCTTAAAATTGTTTCACCGATAGCATTAAATTAAATAATTTTCAGCATATTCTTATACAATAATTGATTTTATCAATTTCATTGTTTATATTTTGAAATTTGGGCACTTTCAAGAATATAATGGTTTTCTCAGATGTGATCTTTCATTTTGTATACACAATGTTTTTATTGTAATTTTAATTTATGCAAGGTTGATAAAAAAAACTTATATAATATATATATATAGGAATTTAAAAGAACGTTCCCACATTAAAATACCATGAATCTCGTCATATAATAAAGCAAACATGAAACCAAAATGAATGTTGGATGGAATTTAAAGTGTACGTTATCATTAGGGGTGTAAACGAGTCGAACACGAGCTGAGCGAGCCATGTTTGGCTCGTTTATATTTCGAGCTCAAAAAGTGTGTTCGTGGTTTGCTTAACGAGCCGAACACGAGCTGTTCACGAACAAAGAGTCCTTTTAACAACCCTAATCCTGTAGCCAGGCAACAGGTGCATTGCAGTAATAGCATCAGTACACAAATGTTAGCGTTCATCTGTATTTCGAACTTGCTAAGCAAATACCAAGTCAAAAAATAACAATTTTATAGAATGCAAATAAGCATACTTTTTAAATAAACAAATGCAATGGTGCAATGGTCCAACCCATAAATATGGACATATTACAACAACAGAATCGAATAGATATGGATGAAGTTGAATGTCCTATTCACAACTCTAAATTTGAAACTCAGTACTTGGTCATAAATCCTCATGCATATCTGTCTCATCATAGATTTCCTCCTGCGTTAATAAAAATCTAAGTTATCCATACTGAAAAACAAAATGAAAAATTTGAGAAAACCAACTCTTGGTACCTGTAATAGTTCTTCAATCACATCCTCCATAGTTATAATCCCAATTGCCTCATCATCATTTAATTCTAGCACAGTCCCGCCATTGATATGCAAAACATCACCGAAGTTATCTCTCAGTCGTTTTTTATTAGTCCCTCGAATGCTCCTCCCTCTGTTCAAATTTCCTGAACCAGAAGGGCAACTCTTCCACTGGTGCAGTTTTGCCACCTTAGGCGTCATTTTTTTCTCCAGCTTGGGCTGCTCAGCATCTATGTCCAACCGCAATTCTTTAAGCGAAAACAGATTAGAAGAGGGAACAAAAAAAAGAAAAGAAAAGAAATCAATAGATTCATATGTACAAACAGAGCTTTGTAGATTACTAGCATAAGAGAATATTAGTTCCTGATAAATGAAAATATTACGGGACATTTATGTATTTACATATCTAACACTAAAATTTTACTTCTTACATTTAATCCAGCCAAGTCTTTCATACTACATCAAAATACACATTTTCATGCAATGATAAGGTGACATGCATGTAAAAAATGAAGTTTAGGAGTTCGATTTCTAAATACATAAGAATTGAGTGGAATGTAAATGTTCGAAAGATGAATGTAACACCGTGATATAGTGCAAGCCACTGGGCAAAATTTAATTGGACTTACCATGATCAACATTGCTGTTGGGCTGCTCGGTTGGATTTTTCACCCTCACAACAACTGCCATATGGCTGTAACCCTTCTGGAACTCATTTAGAATATCATAAAGAGGCACGTCTTCCTTAACCCTGTCAAGTACAATGACCAAAAATTGACATTTAGAATTTATCTAGTGAATGGGTACCACATGCAGGTATTATTTTCTTTGTAATTCAAATTGAGTTGTATGTCATAGCTCTACAATGTCATAGTGCGTCTAATCACAAATGATTAAATAGTGATTATCACAATTAAGGCCAACCTTCCATCCTTCCACATAATCTGCAGTATCTTGATACAGTCGTTTCTTATCAGCATTCCAGTTCATCTCTCGTTTCAAAGAAGAATAAATGGTCTTGCAACCCTAAATTCTCTTTTCTAAATTGAATAACTTTTGTGCATCTATGCATTCAGGAGCAGGGGGTTCGTGGGTGGATAGGTGGGTTCTCGGAAAACTCAAGGAGCAGAGATCTGCCAAACACCCATAATTGCTTGGATAAATACTATAATAAGCTGGCCTTTTTTAATTGAGACCTGATTCACTGGATCCAACCTTCTTATAGTTGAATCAGTTCTACAGACAGTTTCGTCACACAGTTAAAGGGCACAATTCATATTCACGGGCCGCGTCTAAGCATTGAAAGTCATTTATGATCGAAATACATAACCATATTACCACAAGAGTAGTTACGATTTAAACTTAGATATAAAATATATATATATATATATATATATATATATATAGTATACACTAGAATTACCGACATGAATCTCAAAATGAACGAACGACAAAAAACAAAAAAGCTTATCGCAAAGGTAAACAGTCGACTGACAAGTCACCGCCAAACGGTGAAACCGCGTATTTAAATTCATAACAAGTCAAAGCTCCGAAGATGACCCCTCTCCCAATGGTAATAAGATCTGTCAAGGGCTAAGCATAATTCATCCCAAAAGCAAGTATTATCGGATAAATCACACGGACCGACAAGATTCGCTTAATACCTTGCAAATAATGGTAGTCGGATGAAGCGACGAATCAACCAGGTAGATTAAACGTAGGCCCCGTAAAACTTAGCCAGAGCGACAAGTGAGTCACGGTTCACCCAACAAAAACAAATCAACCCATCAGTCAACTAACAGACTGACAGAAACTTGATCGCGATTGGACGACCAACCTACTCTTGCCGTGGTGAACGAGATCATCGTCCAACTGAATGCCTCAGCCGACCAAACACAAGAAACGATTGTCATCCAGTCGATCGCCTCACTTGGTCGCATTCTAGCGAATCAACAAACTGATTACGGTCATATCAAAATTCAAATTGTAATACAAATATGAAATGAAATCCATATAATTTAATAGAGCATTAATCATATTAAGAGCGATTTCCATAATTGTTTCTTTCATACTGTAATTGTACCAACTGCATTCTTACAAATAAGAGACAAAAGAATGGCCAAAGGGAGGCTAGCCATTTGGACTCCCCCAGTTTCCACTTAACATTTGATTCACTTTATTCTCTCATTCATGCCTCTTAACTCTCGAGATATGTTCATAAAAAATAATCTGGGATCCAACATCCTAAAAAGTGGTGCATTGAGCATTGACATGCCCCAGACGACAAGCGAAGCAAACTACGAAGGAGAAACTTCTCAAAGAGAGATAGCACGCATGGAACCAAGCAAAGACACTACACAACCAGACGTCCATGCGTAAGTCCAAGGGCTGCAAGCCTAGATGACTCTCATGATGGAGCATATTGAGGTCCTCCGGGCAGCAATCACTAGGGAACCAACCTATCCTGCAAAACCAGGTCAGCAAGTAGCAGACAGAGGGAAAAGGTGAGTCCTAACACACCAACACAGCCGCCTCTGCGCAGGCGAATGGGCAATAGGAAGAACCGAAGAAAGATTTGGACATCGTACAAATCAGAGAGGTGATACCTCTACCCAAGCTGAGGATTCCTCACTTAGATATTTACAAAAGAAAAAACCGACCCAATCAACAACATCACGTCGTTCAAATCATTCGTTGGTCTACTTCAGATTGACGACCCAATAATGTCTTGTCTCTTCTTAACTACCCTGAAAGAGGGTCCATCTACGGTCAAGCGGTTGAACAAAATATATTCTTTCAAAAAAGAATCAATAACGAAGATATTCCTGGA